TATAATAGTGCTCTTTGAACTTCTAGACATTTAACCATCCTCTGAAATATCATTTTATTATGTCTAGACGTCGGATATATTGATGAAAGAACAGTTACATATCACATATACATATGGAGTCGTAAAAACTCTTGATGATCGAAGTGAAAGTGAGATTTAGTTAGCATTTGGGATCATATCTCATCTCGTTGAGTTCTGGGATGGTTAAATTGAAGCCATTGGTGCGGATTCGATATATAAGAGCCACCTACTAACCGAATGTATCACTGACCAAGGAAAGAAGCAATATCATCTTATTACTTTCATGTTGTTGTTTGTGTTACCTTGCCGTTGATAGGGCCGAATCGATCAGTCTCTATACCTATCACAAAAGAAGTGACTGTTGTGACTCAGTGGCCTAGTGGATAACGGTCTGGTATTTGGAGCAGTCGGCCTCAGGTTCCAGTCTTATTGGGAACAACATCCCTAGCTGGGAGGCAGGTGCATTCAGATGACGAATCCCATATAGAGTGAAATGCGCATCCTTCTTTCAACTGCTAGCCACCACTCATCATCTGAATGCTTCGCTCAGGAAACCTGACTTTTCTGTCTATATATTTTGCGATCGGTTCATACATATAATTTCTCGATCATTTTGATATCTAGAATAGTAAACCAGGTTACTTCTATTAACTTGCTTTTAAGTTTGCCTTTCAATAAATGTTGAATTTCATCAAAACTTTTCGCTTTTAAAATGCTAACGAAATAAAGGCAAAATGTTACAATCTTCCTATTTTGAAATGGTTTCCTTTTTATTACCACTAGCTTTTCTTTATGAAATGACACAACTACTATTGATATTATAGTGACCACCATCAACTTAGTTTTCTGTCAGGCAATAAAAGTTTGTGCAGAAAACATAAACCAAGGTTGGTTTATTTTGATGTCATTTTAATGAATTACAAATCCACGAGATACTAAAGTCTTTAGGATAATACCAACAACAACACATGATTGGAACATAACGATGGTGACAGTAGGAAAATAATTTAATTCTGGTTACAACATAAATGTACTTTAAGTGTAAATAAAGTCACATGCACATGATATGTGTGTTCAACAGTCCATTCGAGCTCAATATTATTTATTCTGGTTAGCTTTACACTGATAACTGATATCCCCCTTGAGATTCGAATCCACGTCAACCGGTGCTGCAGTCAGAGACACTACCAGTGAACCATTCTGTCCGAAAATGACCTCCTGGAGGACTAGTTAGTGCATGCATTAATAACACCTCTGACTGAAGCACAAAGTGACTCGGATTCTAATCTCAGGCGGGAAACCAGTTACGTTTAGGTTGCACACACGCCTTGCTGATGAGTGCAAAAAGCACAAAAACTAGGTTGAGCAGCGCTTCCTGTCGATTGCCTCCATCTAACTATTATTTATTCCAGTGCATTTCGATGCTGAGTCAACTCGCTTCGTTGGCATATTACAAAAATGACCGACAGAGTTCCACCAGCACTTGGGACTAGACAAGGTGAATTTCACCACGCTCCAGTAACCAATGCATGTAGTTTTACTATTTGTAAGGTTTCCAAACCTTCACATTTCTCTATGTTGACCCGTACATCTGTGTATGCATGTGTAACTGAGTTTTGTATTTTAACGAAATAAGCCTCTTTGCTCAGCTGAGACCTATTTCTATCTTGACATAGGATATAATTTACAGTTGTAACAATCTCACAGTGTTCTACATAAGATAATTACAATGTTTTACCCATAACTCGTAACTCCTGTCTTTATTGTTTGTTTGTTACGTTTGTTTTTGAATGGAAATAACAAGGATAACAGTTCATTATTCAAGTCAAAGATATTCAATGCTAAATCATCATCATTTTCCTACACAATGTTTCGCTTATACTCAGTGTTAATAGGGAATATTTCTTTGCAGATATACACATTCCATGTATCTTGGCTTAAAGTAATCGTGAGAAATCGAAATGTAGCCAACTGTACTACAGTGTTAATGAACAGAAGAGTGTAAGTGTTTATCGTGTCATCATCTTTTCCAACACATACAGCTAGTGGTGGATCACAGCTATTCCTGAGATCAATCACTAATTTAAGAACCAACATATTCAGCTGCATAAGACTGATCATAATGATATTCTAACTTCAAAGCAAAGCAGTTCCTTATTCTAAGCATAACCTGTTGATGAATGACACTAACTTTAGAAACACTAAAAGTGGACTGAAAAACGGTGTAAAGTACATTATACTTTAATGCACGCCTATGAAGTAATGATCTTCCCGTTATTATGACTTCAGATGTCTTAAAAAGGAAGTGAATTAGAAATAGCAATCAGAAAGGAATTGATTTCATTAAAAAGACAATAAATGAAATCGAACAGCTCTAATTTACTTGAATTGATAACTAAATAGAGTTTCCTGAAGTAAAGAAGGGTAATGTAGTCTTCTTGGTGAGTAGTAATGGAACCCAGGATCTGCGTCTCGTCTATTTGGAACTCATCAGCTAGATACATCTCAGTGAGTAATGTTTTTCCCATTGGGACTGGGACTCAGTACCTATCGCCTCAAACGCCTATGCGTTATCCACTAGGCCACTGGGGCCCAAAAGCCACCACTTTTGAAAAGGATGTTAACTACTGTTCACTGATACTTGTAACTTACGACTGCTATAATAAGTCAACGACGATTCCCAAATACGGTAAAATACGCGTTCTGGATTCCAATGCTGGTTACCAAGTAGACTAAAACATAGTGAGTAGCAAGGCAGTATCGAGACATCCTCATGGGAGCATATCTGTCATCAGAAGTCGAGCAATACGACCCAGTATATTAAAAGGAAATTACAAGTATCAGTGAACAAAACACAAAAAACTGAACTTGTTGGTTTGATTTAATTAGTTTTTTAGAGCATACACAGACCATTTACTGTGGTTCTCCACCACCTCTCACAGTTTTATATCAATGTTTATGCTGTGACCTTATGCATGAACAGGGGAATAAACATGAAAGTGAATCTGAGCTATGATACTGTCTGGAAGGAAATAGTCATAAAAATATGGAAGTGAAATAAATTTTAGACTAGGACAGCAACAAAGAGTTTTAGTTCAGCCAGTTACCTGTTCACCGGATTCACTAATAGCAGATAGTTAATAACTACTTATGATTAGGGTTTCCTTCAAATCCCATCCATCATTTATGCGTTTTCTCATCCCACTTGGTACTTACTACTGGTGTATGGAAAAATTGTTAACAAAACAGTAGCTTTGAAAGATGCTTCAAATCTGAAGTAATTCAGATAAAAGTCAAAGAATATTTTTGTCATACAAGGCTTGAGCTTGTTATCTCTAAGTTGCTTAACAATCAAGGCAATCTCAGTTAGTCGAAGCACTAAATTATTCATCAAACAGTATTCGACAGTACTAGTAGACTAATGGGTGACTCGTATTAGGAAAAACAAAAGAGAATGAAAATGGTTAGTTAGTCATACTTCATAATACGTTCGTTAAAATAAGGTTGTTCTCTGAATTGCGGTTTCAATTGGCAAACGTTGTGTCATGCTACGCAAAGTCATCCGGATAGTTACTCTAGATTTACGATATCCAGAATGCTGATGAAATTTTACTTCATAGGATCGCTCAGTTTGTTGTTCAAAAGTCTCTGTTCACGATTATCAATGTATATATATATATATATATATATATATATATATATATATATACACATTAGAATGGCAGTCAACTCTCGACCTCAACTTCATCGACTCTGAAAAAGCCTTCGGCAGTGTCAGCCAAGAAGTAATTTGGTAGTTGATTCAATATATGGAGTACCACAAATCTTTATCAACCTCATTCAACAGCTAAATGAAAACGCCGCATGTCAAGTGATCCACAACTGAAAGCTCAGTGACGCCTTTGAAGTGAAGACAGGAGTAAGACAAGGTTGCCGCCTACCATCATCCATGATCTTCCTGATTGTGGTGGACTGGATCATGCAGCAAACCATGAGGAACGAGAAGATAGGCATACGCTGGATGGACCGATGAAAACAGCCTAGACGATTTGTATCCAATGTCTTGTGGCACAAACTCGAAGTTCTACAGGCGAAAATCAACAAGTTGATAGAAGAGACGAGGCAGCGAAAGCGGGACTTCAAGTGAATGTAGAGAAGATGGAGGTGATGAAGATACCTAACCAACAACAGGATCAACAAGAAGCACCAACCACCACCAACGGGAGAAACCTAGAGGAAGTAGGCTCTTTCGCCTACCTAGGCAGGAAAGCATCGCTTCAATTATAGGCGGCGGCGGCACAGATGAGGATGTCAAAACCAGGATCGGAAGGACAGCAAGATAGGCCTTACTTCACTAATCTGAAATCAGTGTGGAGATCTACTTCACTCAGTATAAAGCGTGAACAAGACCCGGATTTTCAACACTAATTCAGTCAAGTCAGTGCTTCTGTGTGATGGTTCAGAAACTTGGCGCGTCATGAAAAGCACTTTCAACAAACTACAGACATTCACCAACAGCTGACGCCTACGATCACTCGACACTGAAGACCAGATGGTCAGAAAAAATAAGCAACAAGGAGCTCTGAACTGGCAACAAACCAACCAACAGCCTATCACCCAACAAATATGCAGAAGAAAGTGGAGATGGATTGGGCATACACTGAGAAGGCCGAGTGGGGACATCACGTGCCAGGCCAGGTCCTCGAGTGGAATCCAAGGGGGAAACGACGAGTTGGGCGTCCGAGGAGAGGGTGACATAGAGGAGATCATGTGAGGAAGAAATGAAAGCTTGCGGGTAGTCGCGTGGCGAGGTTCAAAAGACTACAGAGAACAGAGTGAAATGGAGGCGTGCTACTGAAACCCCATGTTCTACTAGGAAACCAAGGGAAAATAATGATAATTATATATATATATATATATATATATATATATATAGTGGAGTAAAGCTTTGGTTAAACTGTTTTTAAATTGTAACTTACCGATCCAAATCGGTGCATTAGTAGATATGACTCAGCTGCTGGATTCATTCCGACAGTGTTTAGCTTCCATCCAATTAGCTAAAAGTCAAAAGGAAGTCCAGGCAGGTAAATCTTCGGCATTCATTACAGTAAACTTCTAGCTGATATGAATCACTTCCAGTTACAATTCTACTGAAAATTGTACTCTGGTGCTGTTTTTTTGATGGTGAAGAAATACAAACATTTCGATGATCGCTAGTTAAAAGATAATTTCTTTGTATCTGTATCTGGATTTCTCTAGTAATTTTCGATAATGGACTTATGAATGTACCATTATGTTCCTGAAGCATCAAAGACTACTGAAGACATCCCATGCAAACTTCACGTCGTTAATTCAGATGTTGGTCAAACTTCAACATCCTTATTGGCAAAAGTTATCATATACATAATAAAATCCTAATTAGCTTGTTGTTTCGAATAAGATCCGGTTATTTTAATGTTGATATAACATCCATATATATATATATATATATATATATATATATATAAAGTTGTAACGAGTGAAATCGAATGAAAAATCTAGGTAGCAGCTTTTTAGTAAGAATCCTATAACGACTCGAGATTTTGTTTCAATCCCAATTATCACCAAAATAATGAAGACTAACAGAAAACGTATCAAGAATAAAAACTGTGTTTAGTGTAAAGTAAGTTAAAATGTCTATTTAAAAAATTGAGAAATAGAAAAACACTAACTGAAGTCATTTAATTTTATCATTTTTTAAACAAATGGAGAACAGAAAACAAAATCGATAGGTTAACCGATATTCCTTTTTTTTCATATTAACTTTCAGTTTATTTACGTATATATTTTGTCTCAGTTGAAACACTATTGTCTTTTATACAAGGTTATCTATCTCTTGCTAGGCGTCGTGTTCAGAGGGTGTGATAACTCGAAATATTGCATGATTGTACCTTATTAAATACTATTCCCTTCAGTAGAAATAATATACACCTATAAGTCTGTAGCATATTTACTTTTACGTATTATTACCTTATTTTTACTCAGATATATTTGAGACAAATTTGATGAGAAATTTTTCAAATACTTTTCTTTTACATAAATAGTTTATCTTTTTTACCTACATTCTGTGAATTAAATACTGTAAAGCAATAAATATCTGATAAATGGTAAAGGTAATAGGCTAAACTCAGTGGTTCATTATTTTCGTCAAATTAAAATCACAACAAACTCATTCAAATAAAATAACGGAAATCATTTTGCAGTGTGAATTAAGCACTAGTCAAAAATTTCAGTGTACATAGACTGTAACGTGATACTTTGAATGAAATTTCGGTCTGTTATGACTATGATAACAGCTGACTATCATGTCAATAAGAATAATTTGCCAACTGTTTACTGACGTATCAATAAGCATCTCTCTTGCTTCTCCGCAGTCGAAGATAACTAGTCATCTTATCATTCTAGTATTGGTAGCCAAATCAGATTAACTGGATTCAATTAGTCTGTTTTCTGTTAATTTCAACAAACTAATGAAACATACATCTGAACCAGAGCAATAATTGTATTTTGTTTTAATTTAGAAGTAGTATTCATTGTGGACTAACATCATTTGGGGAACCACTGAAAATCTGGGAGCACTGGATAGTCGTTTCGTCCTAGTATGGGGCTCCTCAGCAGTACGTACCGACGACCCGGCTAGGGATCGAAAACTAAGGACCTTCAGGTTTCACGGAGAATGTCTTATCTATTCAGTCACTGAGTCGGTTTCCAGTGGTTCGCAATCTCCAACTTCTGTATTTTGCTTGTTGGTCAGAGGTTTGTACATTTCAAATGGATGGTCTACTGCTTTATGACTCAACTTTATCCAAACCTCCCAAGTTTTCAATGGTTCTCCAACTGACATCAGTCCAAGATGAATACTACCAAAAAAGTAATAATATCCATGGCGTTGCTTAGCTCATAAAGTTCACTATAGACTAATTTATTTAAGGCGTAAAAATAATGACGAAAGCTAAAAAACTTCCATAATACTACAGTATGATTGGTAAAGTATGATGCAACGAAAATAGTGAATTACTCACTCGATCACGAAGGCTTTCCGATAAGCCTGCACTAGTCCCCGTGCAATGAATTAAAACTGCACCCAAAATTAAATCTTGTCTCAACATCTAAAATAGTGATTGTAATACAGGTGAAGGCACTGATCAAGTTGAAAAGAAAACTAGTTGCGCTAAATTTTATCTTAAATTACTTACCGCCAGTCGTATCAAAATGTTAGCTCCAGCTCCTTCACCGAAAATAACAATATGCTGTAGTCTGATAATGTGAGGGTAAGAAAAGTAATACTATCTATTTTATGACCAAATGATGTTACCTTAGAGCATCGCATACTTCGTTCATTCCTTCTGCGAGTTGTTGAACTGTTGGAAATGTGTAGCTGTGTGTATATATACATAACAAAATTGTTAAATAAGAGATGAATTACGATTACTCAATTAATGTACACATCGTTATTGCAAACTCATCAAGGAAAAATTGCATTCAAAGCAAGACAAAATTAGGCAAAATCTTACGTAGAGGCGAATTCACCGATGTGAACTCTATTTGATGAATCACTGCTATTCATAGCCCTTCAGAAGAGTGAAAAAGAACCTTGGTCTTGGGATAACATTTGGTAGAATCACCATTTAAGCAGTTTAGATGTCAGGCGTAGGATATTAATTAGGTGACAGGGGCAAGTCGACTGATCAGGTTGTAAAATTCCATCGACTGAGAAAACTTGAAATGTACTGAGCATTTTCAGTCACGGCCTACCTCTACATGCTATGCTAGAGGAGGGTGGATTAGATTGAAAGAAGGTTTAAGATGACTAGACCAAGACTTGTCACCAGTCCATGAAGTCGCTGACTGCTGGTCTGTGCCATGTGGGAAGGTGTAGACTGCTTGATTGGGCTCCCCAAGGCGGTGGGAATCAGTGGCCAACTTTTGGTAACACGGCTGAAAACCGGGTGCAATAGTGCAGACGTATTGACTCTTCAATGTCTTCTAAAGCTTGATTACTTACCGTTACCTTTATCTTCAAACTGTTTGTTCTGTCATACAACTTCGTCTACTTTGATATCACTTTTTCTATCCACTTATTCTTTGTATACTACTGTGAAGTGTGGCGACTTGAACAGCTGGACTTGTATGCTATGTTCTACGCTGATTTTGTCTGTCAGTCTTTGGATAACGTAACTAAGCGTTGTATGACTCAGTAGTGACGTATTTTCCAAACTAGTCATTTGGGCTGATGAAATGACAAACCAAGTATTCTTGTTCCTATTTAATAAACTGCAAGTGCTATTCAAAGAACAGTATTGTTATATATTGAGATTTATGAACTTTTCAGTGGTAACCGGATATAAATTAGCACGCTAAAAGTTTCTGTCAATAAGACGTGTTTTTATCCACATATAGCACAATTAGACTGGCATACTCGACATGGAACTTAAAATACTTTTGCAATTAACTTGGGATATTCATTGTTTATCAGTTCGATTCAAAATATTTCCACGGTATGTATATATTTCTTGAAGTTAGTGAGGCTTAGTAAAAGAAATGTATGCATAAAACCTTTTTTTGACTGAATAACTTTATAAACTTTGTATGCTTCTGAAAATTATGTTATCAGCATGTGCATACCGTTCTTTTCGAAATATACATCTCTTTACAGAGATGGATGGATGGATGGATGTGGGAATTCAGTTTCCAGAAGGTGTAGTCTAAACAGATGAAAACTTTAGATTAAGTTGTTGCGTAACTATTTCAATTTAGGCAAGGCATATACGGCTATGTTGGTTTACTGAAATTCGGATGACATCAAACCAGCCTACTCACACCAATATTTTTTTAATGACATATATATATATATGTACATATATATATGTACATATATATATATATATATATATATATATATATATCATTTTGCACATTTACTCTTTCAAATGTCTAGATATGAAACTCATACAGATTCTTTTGTTACTCTGTCTGTTCTATGCAGATGAAGAGACAACATTTGGGAGTAGCATTATTTCCCAGGAAAACGAACGTTTACGACAAACAGTGTCAATCTATTGTTATATTATTCTGCGCTGTTACTTTTTCCTCATAATAACATTACAAAACTGCATTATAAGTGTGACGAATTGATTTACTGATCATCAATTCAATGTTATATCAGTGCCTGCCACTTGGTACGCTGTACATAACGTGTACGTTTGGTCTGTTGTGTCGATGATTGCCCCAGCAGCTGATAAATTCTCTAACTCTTGTTGTCTTCCATACTTTACAGCTGTATACTAACAATATAATATTTCAGTTTACATTAAAATGTGATGAAAAACAATTTACTCTGCAAAACACTTTATTCCTGTTTTTTGGAAAATTCAAGTGTTAAGTTTGAGCAATAACTGATTTGTACAATTGCTTTCTGTAAGCGATAAATGACTGGTTTTTAACAATGGGTGTTTTCCGTTTTCTAAAAGCAGTAACTAGCCTCTATATCAACAGAAAATCAATCTCAGGGGTTTAATTCGAAATAACTGTTCGCAAACATAAATAGTTTCTAGGAAAAGTATAAACACCCGATTTTTCATTGTATATTAGATTTGTTTATTTGATTTGTAACGCACAGTGATGCAGTATTATTTCCTGGATGACGTTTTAAGCAGAATCTGTTGCTCATAGTGAAATAAACATTCTAGTATGGAAGTATACTCTATCACAGTACCCATGGTTTACGCCTACATCTGGTTTTTTAGTTGAATTTAACTGGGTTTTTGTCAAAATTTGGAATACAGTGATAAGAATTTTAATTGCGGTGGGTGTTTAGCGTCACCATTTTATCTCGATATCAATATATTTTAATCAAGCTGTTAGAATGTATATGGGGTAAACAGTCCATACTAAGTCATAGATGAGTGTTTCGTGAAACAAAAGCCTTTCTCCTTCAACCTTTTATGGACTCCAAGTTTTGCTTCTCCACCTTTCTGTGAATAAGAATTTGTTACTAGCTTTTCAGATCCACCGATACACCATCACTAAGGCTGTAAATAAAAATGAATTATTACTCCGACCAGTTCTTGACGTGTCACAACCCGCTAGATCGTGTGAGTGCGAAATGACCAGTACAACTCTTGCTGCCGTTGCATAAGAAAGCTGTAAAACACGGCTATAGTGATACTTTTGTGTGAGTTAAAATGATAAAACATAACAATGTGAATGGTAAGTTCTTGAAATCTTTAGTTGTGCTATCTCTTTTCACCAATAAAATTAATGGATTTCATACTTAGCGAACCGACAAAGCGAAATATGGAGGTCGGAGTTTCTGTATCCGTCCCGAAAAAACTCCTCCGAAGGTGTAAAATTAATAAATACTTTCATGTTAACAAGGTGAAAATTCATGATCATCATTTGGTCATATCCTGGTATATTTTTTTAATAAGAACTTGCAGAATGGTTCTCTAAAAGGTATGATAAGTGATTTAGAATTTTAAGCCCACTACGTGAACAATACATACCTAATTCTGAAGAATGAAAACGACTCTAGAATTATGGGGTAAGTTGGGTGACCTTACCTAATAATTGCCATTATCGCTGACGCAGAAAGTAATGATAGGATCATTTTTTCAGATGTGTTACGGACTAGGAAAACTGACAAACCAATAAAAAGGGGTGTATGTCAGAAAGTTGTAATAAGTGACCACCAATTTTTAAAGAAAGGATAATTACGTATATCTAAAAATTCACTTTTCTAATTCTTAACGGGCACAGACCGCACATTTGTTTCATTGTAAAAAGTCATACTTTCAGATATATTGCCTGTTATATTTATTTGTGCTCTTCAGGTACTATAAATCCGCTTAAAGAAACATATGCTGACTTAATATGCTTATCTTACTGAAAAAAAGAAGTAGAATTTTTGCTAAAAGAAACTTCAACATCAGTTCACAGGTTTCGAAAGTGTGAAGGCTAACAAATAATTAGAAACGCTGACTTACTCAGAAGGTAAGTCTGCTTCTCCATCACCTTGTCCAGGAACATCTACATGTATCCAAGTGCATCGATTAGCCAAAGGTTCCATCGACTCATGAGCGAGAAAATTAACCATTTCATTGTCTAAAGTAATCGATGATGATATGAAATTCAAAATTTTCAAGCCTACGATTGCATCCAAGATCATGAACTGTCAGGAAGGCAACATTAGAATTACGTGGACCCTAAATAGGTTTCAGGTCTTTATTTACAAGTTAAACTTCCTACTTGAATGAAAACATTTAGCTTTCCACATTGCTCAGTGTTCACAACTTCATGACATATCTAAAATGGAAAATAAGTAATCATGGGATTAAAGAAGTAGCTTAAGCTTGAAAAAATGCCTTAAAACAAAGCAGATTATAAAGCAGTATCTGCGTGAGACAATCTGTACAAGACTTCAGGAGAACACTGTTCTTGAGTTTGTCAGTTAACAGGTTTAGAACATATGAGAAATTGTTACTAATGTTCATAGGAAGATTCTGTTTCAGAAAGGATGGGAGACACTTGGCTCCATCAAATAATTCTCAAAAAGAGTAAATTCACATGTATGTCTGGCCATAAGCAAAATTATACAATCACTTACATAATGTGATAAGAAGACAGAGGTTATTTGAGAAATGCGATGTATTCACGTATTACATTCCGAAAAATCTGATTACACATTTACTTGTCAAAGCATTGTATATGAAGGGCGTAAATACGGTGGGGTAAGATAAATTAATTACAGTGATGTTAGTTGGTTGGAGGCAATAAGCAGGAAGCCCTGGACCTAGGTTTCGTGCTTTCTGGCACTCGTCAGCAAGGAGTATCTGCAACCTCGACGGAGCTGATGTCCCGCCTGAGATTCTAACCCGCGTCACCCGGTGTTGCAGTCGGCGACTTTACCACTGATCTATTCGGGTCGCTATTGACCTCCTGTAGGGCTGGCTTACATTGCAAATACGATCGATAGGATTTGGTCTGCACTCAGGACTAGACAACATGTAGTTGGTTGCACTCCCGTGACCAATCAATACATGTAAGCCAGTCCTACAAGAGGTCAGTAGCGACCCGAATAGATCAGTGGTAAAGTCGCTGACTACAACACCGGGTGATGCGGGTTAGAATCTCAGGCGGGACATCAGCTCCGTCGAGGTTGCAGATACTCCTTGCTGACAAGTGCCAGGAAGTACGAAACCTAGGTCCAGGGCTTCCTGCCTATTGTCTCCAACTAACTAACATCTACTGATGTGCACCGCGATGGTGAGCTTCCTAGCTTGGTTGCCACATTGCAAATATGATCGATAGGATTGGGTCTGCACTCAGGATTAGACAACATGGAATTGGTTTCAGTATTATGACCAATCTAATACATAATTAAGGTAATACAAGATTTGGAAAATATAGGGATAATAAGGAAGAATAATATATTTTTACACCTCCTTTTACACTAAAGTGAGATGAAGAATACCGAAGTAGGTTTAAGGTAAGGACTAATTGTTTTCGAATACACTGAGGGGGTTTAAACTTTCGTACAGCTAAGGCTTCAATGAACCTAAGTACACGGTCTTGACGGCTCCTATACGATGGTTTAAAAGCTGTTTTGGCGTCAATCCTGTGACGTGTTTACCTACAAAGGATGACGTTTGTCTGCCGCTGTATTCATTAGATTATTTGAATGTAATGCTTTTCCTAGCCATTTGGAGATATGCTCCACCATCTCCGACTTCATAGTCCTCAGTGTATGTATCTTCGCACACACATGAAACTTGGTATACACAGCAGGGTATGACGCAATCATCTATAAAGCGATGAGGTTTACGTTGAATCATAGGTATCATTTTTTCATAATACGGAACTTGGCTGTATAGTATATCCTTTTAACAACTGAATTATACCTTCATCTTGAAATCATACCATTAGACACCCCCCCTTATACGGTAGCGTGATGTAAACGTCCTTTTTCGGGACAGAATACCGACTAGTTCGTACCATCGAGATGTTTTCATAATGATTTATGAACTTCAGAGGATATGCGTTTTCTATAAGCATCACTGTTAAGAATGTGATTTCTTCTTCCAAAGTATCGGTTGTGCAGATGAGTTGAGTTCTTTTGAAGAAGCATTCTACTGAACATCGTTTGTACTGCATTGGACAGAAACTTTGAAAGTCTAGGTACTGTTCGGTCTACGTAGGTTTTCTATACACTGATCTTTTTCTTAACCCGTCCTCCCTTCTGTTTAATAACACGTCAAGAAAAGGAAGCTGATTATTATTTTCTGTTTCACATGATAAACTGATGTGGCTTTGTGTGATGTTAAGTCTATCTAGAAGACTTTTGACATGCGCTTATTTATCACACGTAGCTAAGATATCATCAGTGTATCTCCTATGTAAAGAGACTGTAGATTGAATCCTCAGTTCTACATCTGAAATACAGACATCATCTAACAATGTTCCTAAAAGACTACCGATGGCAACACCATTAACTTGTTGAAAATGTTCACCTCCGAAAGTAAACTGAACCTTATCCGTGCATAGTAGTGATAGTTCTTTAAAATATTATGGAGTGATGGGAAATGAAGGAGTATTCAAAGATATATAATCACAAAGAATATTAACAGTCAGGGTTAAAGGCACGTTGGTGAATCTAGTGTTTACATTAAAAGCATACATTGTCTTATCCTTGATATTAATGTCATTTATGTAGTAAAAAGGCTCAAAAGCATCTTTTAATGCAAACCTACGTAATCAATTTCTAACTATACTTAGCATTTGTATCAACCGTTTTGGCAATTTATGCGTTGGGGAGCAACACACATGGATAGCATTGAACGTATCGCTTTGCGCATTATGGACAAACCGCACAATTTGGGGTGTTCACACCCTACAGGTTTTAATGAATGAGATTTTCTTGTCTGCTAATAATATCCATGTTAAAGAGTTAACTAAACTTGCACCTACTTTGTTTTCATTCATTGTGTTTGAACGAAAATTTTACTTAAAACAGAATGACATTGAATGACTAAACAAGGAGAATCTTCTTCGGATTACTTTCATTGTTAATATTCTAATTTTTGTATTATCAAGAAAACTATTACTTGAAATTTTTTCGGAAAGAATTTGAATGCTGTTACAATAGTGAAAATTTCGTAAAGTTTGAAAAATAGAGAATGCAATAGATTACTATCTGAAGGATGGGAAGAGAAAAGAGAATTCCAGACGGATTGTGTAACTCAATTAACATGATAATTTCAGAAGTCCTACAGTAGACATTACTTCGTCATCTTCTAAGAAGTGATACTTTTGTGTGCTAAACTTTCAACGCTATACCACCGCGATATATTTCAACTTAATTTCTTGCCTTGAAAAAACAGTATGAAATGAAAAATTGATTAAATATATTTCTTGTGAGAATCTGCAAAGACTTCCAGGATTTTTAATTTTTACAAGGAATCTCCAGGTTGCTGTTAAAAAGAAGAGGAAGATTTATTAGTAAACAGTATCCGTATCAAAGCTTATTTCAGAGCCAGTCTTCAAATGAAAATAACAACAAAATCTACAGCATTATTTGTGATTAACTGGAGAAGCTAGTAGTTGCATATAATATAGATAGTTGACAAACTGCACTGGCAGGTCTCCCTAAGTAGTATTGGTTATGTTTCATAAGATCAATTATTTGTTAAAGGACCAGCTAATTTCAGCTGAGAAAACAGCCTGTGCAGTTTTTGTTAGTTATTCGTATTATCTTGCTGGGATCAGGAATAGCAAAACTGTGGGCCAATTTAGTGTTCGAAATCATTCCATAAAGCATGCGTCGAATTAAGACAATCGTAGCTCTGAGCCGCTGGATTTATGTTGACTGCTTTTGCCACATTAACAAAACGTGATCTTTAAAAAGACGAAAGATATATCGCACATACATATATGTTTGTTTATATATGTATATATATAATGGTTGCAAGGTCTGAAAGTGTTTCTCTGGCTAAATTGCTCAGGTTACGGGTGTGATGAAGATTAACTTAAACTCATAATTCACAAAAAGATCCCTAATTTTCCACCGAACCTCACCTTATTAAACATGGTGATGTGTTTCTTCATCCAGCAGTCAACAGTAAAACTAGGTAGCAAACTTCAACAACGTTTGAGTGTACAGAGCAAGACTGAAAGTTTTGAGATGCTATAACAACGACCAATTCAGTGTATGACTATGCTAAGTAGAACCGCTGAAGAGAAAACCTCTGAGGTGTGAGAAAGCAACCAAGTGAACATGTAATTGGTGATTTTGTTGCTTTACCAGTTTTGTTAGTCGGAATAATTGCCCTCCTTGTCTTAAAGTACATTTGGAAGAAATGATTAGACTGGTAGAAAAATATGATAGGTTTCAAACATAAGACACCACAGTTTACCGCGCCAGTTAAACTGGTGAGATATAAACCATCTAAAAGTGCGAAAACGAAAAGTATATAGCCCGAAGACAGGTAGAAAGAAATTGTTGAATGAAAGTCCCAGTCCACATAAAGTATCTTTTCAGGGGAAATTTATAACTTGAATAAACAGTTCAGTGATTCAAGTACAAAATAGGCCCTCTCGATAGTCAGTGGGAACTACATATTAAAGATCAATGTGAGGTTTTTTTCTACAGTTCAGTGAAAACTCATACTTTGGTGAGCACTGAGTTTCTTGATAGTCAAAGTAGATAACTCATTAGACATCTTGCTTTCGATTTCGAATGTATAACGGTGTTTCTCATCAACCAATATTTCTTTCTGAAGTTAATGCCTACATTCTCATAAACTCTTAGGCGTATGAATACGCAAAGTCACTTATAATGTTTCGAAATTGGTTACTGTAAGAAGGCTAGTAAGGTCAAGTTTTTATGGTGTGGAATGAAAGTCCGACATCAGGTGAAAGCACTTTCAAAGTAATAATGAAAGAAAAAAGCGAAATTTCGATTCATAATGAACTGTGTAGGTAGATGATTATTTAACAGATTCAAAGAACGTGGCACATTGAGGTTTAAGGATCCATGAACTCCTCTGAACGTGCTGACCACACCAGCTTCCTGACGAAATTTTGGTAATTACAGTGCCACTAAATGTTCCAAGAAGTTCACATTGCATCCACATTGGAAGAAGGAAATATGGTCATCACCGGACTCATTTGAGATGTAAACAGTTGTAACTGCTCATAAAATGTGATATGAGACAAAAGTAGTAAGAAAAACAACATCAGTAAGCAACCGCCAGGTTAGTAAAAATCGAAAACACTGACAACTTTTAAGAGTAAGAATTTGATAACCTATACACTTGCATTGCTGCACCAGTGTACCTAAGACAAAATATCACGCCTCAAAGGAAACTGATACCATCCAAAGAGATGAAGCGAAATAGGAATAACAAAGTGCTTCAGAAGAAACACACTTAACATTACAAGTGACTCAACAAAATATGTCAATGACAACAGAAAACGTTTCATGAAACCATGATAGAAAAGGTAACACAAAAGTATAGATACAGCTTCCGAGAAATGTAACACACATGGAGTTTCTGCATAAGAAGCAAACATATGTCAAAATATTGAAATCGCAGTCCTTTTCAAATTTTCTAATTTGAACATGATAATATGCTGGTAATTATGTATAATAACCCTGAAAAGAATTCACCCTGACTTGAATTATTTATATGTACATATGCTAGACAGTGAAAGTGTACGGACACTTGTTTCCATCTCTCGTAAATACGCCGAAGCTAAGAAGTCTTGTTTGATTTAATCATGTTTCTTATTTTCGTTATTGGTCATATTGTAGAACCAGAACTAACAAAGGTTGGTCCATGAAGTGAAACTGTGATAAAATGATAAAGATTTTATCATTTTGGGCTTGCATAGATACGTAAGACAACATAAACATCAGTTCAATTTCATCAAACAAGTGGAGGCGTGAGTATGACATACGCATAACTTCATTCGAGAGCCAAACACCTTTGCAGAAATATCAACATTCTTTTTGTCAGGTCATGATTCTCAGCAAACTTTCAAAATTGTTGCATTTCTTGGTTAACCTAAGTAGTTGCATAAGATTCAGTGGGTGACAGAAGAAACTAACATGACACAGATAAAACTATAGTAGTTGGTGTTAGAATCACCTCCTATTGATACCATCGCAACGGAACCTTCGTCAAATAGGTTTGGAGTTCAAGGATTCAGAGAATTCCTTTTTACGCCACGTGTATAGGGACTAATCTATGCAGTCTGAAAGCGTTTGATAACTCCATTTGTTTGCTTACCACCATTTGAATACTGTTGTTCAACCAAGTAAATCATAACATTAAATATTCAGGCAATGTTAAGACATCTGCATAGGAGCCCATTCGCCAACATAGGTCGATCAATCCGATCTCGTGCAACAATGGAGAACTAGAAGTATATCAACAAATAGTAATTACTATTCATATGCAGTGGAAGTGCTGTATCATTTAGCCCAACTTTGTCGGCATATTTGGGAAATAATGAAGTTGCCTTCTTTTATGTAGAGTTATCTTGAAATAATTTGTTTGGAAAATAGGAAGGAGGCAGTATGTGTTAACCAAGTAGTTAACACCAGATACATCGTTTTGACTGAAAGTCGTTAGCTTACGACGTTTTCAGAAAAAGTGGTAATATTCATATTGAACTGATGGCTGCTTTTCATGATAACATCCTGCATAACTTTGTTGAGAACATGCAAAGCAATGGTCAGAAATGCCACCAGTTTTGTCCGGGAGGCTGAGAACTTCAGTTATTCCTTTTTATGTATAAAAGTGAAACGGTGAAATGGAGAATAGGCTCAGTCGTGTGGATCTTCCTAATTTAACCTAAAAAAGCCTGATATTTATTTACGTTCATCATAGTCACACTCCACTGTAAGCGGCACAATATCTATCGTCTCGTAATAATTAAAGGCAAGAAGTGCTTCATGTGTCAGTGTGCCTGCAAAATGCAGATTTCTTTCATATCCCTATTCATTCTGTAAGCGAATTAGGTACTATCGTTACGTTTTAGATGTACATATACTTAGGGATTATAAAACTTGAAACTGCACAACTGGTTCTTATCTCCCTGGAATTATGTATTTAACAGATCTACCTAATTCTGTAGAAAATGATAAATTGCTCACATGACAAAAACAAAGAGTCCAGGCTTTGTGATTTGCGTCTTACAGAAAGTGGTCGCTAAAAGCAATCTGTAAATTTAAAATTAAGTACCATGCACTTCTAAAATGTGAAACACTCCATCGAATTGCCGAAAGTAGAAAAGGGAGCAGCTTAAAAATGCTTCCGATTCTGTACGTCAACACCACACTTCACCCAGCACAGCACTGTTGCTAATACTACTACTACTACTACCTCTAGCTTCTAACCAATTTTCAAAACATGGAGGTAATCTATTGGGATTTCTCAGCGTATCACCACAAACTAAAAGGGAAAGACCAGAGAATTTGGAGCTTCACTGATAGTGAAAGAAAATTGTGGTCCTGGCTTCCATAAGTAGGTAGTAAAAATGAAGAGGATTGTTAAAATCATCTAGAATCAGCATAGCTTGCGTGGGTTAAACTGTCCTATAGCTTAGATTTTCAACTACACGTGTTCTTGGTCAAAAAATATAAAAGAGAAGCTTCGTTTTGCAGTATTCATCTTTACACAATCTCACAAATCATGTTAACCACCTCGTTTTGTTATTAGCTGGCAAGTGTTGAAACAGGGATGTACTTTTTCTGTCTGATGAGGCAAAATAAATTAATCATACTTACATGACAGACGTCGACTTATGACAGCGATCACACTAATTTTATCGATAATGCAGACAGTTGTTCATGAAAGTTTGCATATTTGAGTGGGGTAAAGTGACCAAGAGAAAAATGATCTGCTTAACAGCAAAAATATTTCTTTTGCTAGTCTACCGATGTATACAGTCTGTAAAAGTGTTTTGAGACAGATGTTCATCTAATTCAGAAGTAAATTGCTCATTGTTGATCTAGAAAGCAGACCTATCAGAAATGAAACCAAGATTCGAGGTTTATTGAAAGAAGAAAAGCAAACTGAGCCTGTGCGCAATTAGGATTATCTGGAGTCTTTGAGGCGCTTCAGTACCAACCAATAAACAACTTTCATTTCAAGGAAGATATTCCAGTTAAGCCGTTGCGATATACCACACTTAAAAGTCGAAAGCTTCATCCGACCCTACTGGAAAGATAAACTGGGTGGTTAAGGTGCCCTGTACACAGTATCTCACATTCGAAATGTCAGAACTATAAATCACATAACTTTGTAGATTGCAATCTAACTATCTTAAATTTCAAGATATTTTAAAGTGAGTACGCCTAAGTACATTTTTTTCTGTCATGACACAAACTAAAGTGACATCATATTATGTGCGTAAAGTTTAGTTATATACCCGTAATTGAGTGTTAATTGCTTTCTTGGCAGATTGTTTGCATCTTCAATCCATCTGGTGGCTGGGCTTCTTTACGGTTTTTGTCATGGCAACAAGCTAATTTTTTGAATAGCAACAGGTTAAGCCTACTATGGAGCATGGAAAGAATCACAAAACATGAATCTGTTTTATTAAGGTGTATATACCAAAATATCAAAGTAGAAACTTGAACTGAAGTGAAACAACTCATATCGTAACATTACACAATGCAAAAACTGAGATTTCAGCCTAGCTCATTTGTAAAGAAAATTTTTTCGAAACAGCTGGCAACCTAATTGTAGCCAAGTTAAGGTATTAAATGATGCACAATATAGCCTACATACGAAACTGAATGACGCTGGCATTTGATGTGGCGAACTCTTTACGTTTCTCTACGGAATCAGGAACAGATTCAGAAGCTGCGTTTGAACCATCTCCGTTGGAACTGACGGGATCTTTACTGTGTGTTGAACGAGTACATCTTCATGGAGGTAATTGAAAGAATTAAAAAACATTATACGTCTCTCACTCCCAGTCAATGAAGACTGAGGACCCAGAAATTAACCATGTTCACGGAAATAAGGTACGAATAATAGCATATACAACATCAGCGCATGTCTAGTTACAAGCAGCAAACTTGAAACCTTTAATGAAATGCATACTCACATGTCTTGACCAGTAAAATAAAATTATGTCGATTCAAATTTTTAGAATATTGTATATACTAGCCAAAAGCAAATTAATATGAGGGAAAAGAAATGGTGTATTTCATTCAGTGTAGGTTTTCTAAGAACACATAAAATCGAATAGTGGACTTCCTTTTAATTTAGTAAACCATTCATAGGCGTATTACAAGGCAAATAAAAACCTGGTCGTTCTCTTATCATACTTTCACTCACTTGATTGAATTCAGTCGGTTTAGAATGTCACACTGGCTATAACTTGAAATTATTGTTGAAGAAGATACATAATAACGTGAGTGCATGTTAAGCACAATAAAATTCACAACTCATGATGAGTTGATGATGCGCTTACGGCGCTAAAACATCCTAAATAAATTAAATTACAAACTACGCCTTCATATATATGCTCTAACTAGTCTCAATAAAGTTCGTATTTCTTCATCATTTGTAGCTGATCTTATGGAGAAACATTTAAAATTTATCTGTCCTAAATAATTGCTTAACCGGAGTTTCATGTTCATACTTATGGATCAAATGGTTACTAATGGAACAAAGGGAGCTTACGCCTGACTGGTTTCCATGTCTCGAAACTGGGAACCACTAGTTCCTACATATTTTATATGATTAACATTTTGCCCACAACTGCAAAGAATTAGCAAATAAAGTATTTCTAAATAATCAAAGTATCTGCTGTTTGCAGTTTATCTGACCATACAGGCTTTCACACTGGTGAACAACACATTGCAACTCACTGTTGTCATTGTTAGCTGAAACTCAAAATAACTTTGAAAGTTCGCTCTTGCGTGATGAAAAACGTAGCTTAGGAAAAGAAATTCAATGTGCACTGAGACCATAAAAATCAGTTAATATTGCTTTTCTCTACGCTGTCCAAACATTTCGGTTAACCTGCAAAGCTGGAATACTTTGTATTCATATTTTTTGTCCTAGTAGCCGTAAGATGAGTTTCATATTCAGATCCAGATTCAGATTTGTTGTTTGAGGATAGGAGTCTGGGGGCCTATATTAATCCTTTTCCAATAGATTTCCGTGATTGTCCAATCCCCTTTTGAATGAGTCAATCGATGATGTGGGGACCACTTCTTCTGGGAGTCGGTTCCAGGCGTTGATTACTCGACGCGAGAACCAGTACTCTGCGGAGACCATGTTCGTTCCTTGCTTTTGTAGCCTTCTGCCATGTCCTCTGAGGTGTTTCAACCTGCTGGGAAGGAAAAGAGATGATAGATCAGGTCCTAGGCCGTTTCGTAGAATCCTGAATAGCACGATTAGGTCTCCCCTCTATCTGTGATAGGGCAGAGTGAAGAGGTTCAGCTCCTTAAATCGATCTTCATGGGTGAGACCAGCCATCGCAGGGATCATACTAGCGGTTGCCCTCTGGACTGTTTCCAGAAGGTTTGCATCGCCTTTCATACAAGGTTTAGCCGCCTGTGTACGGTTTTCTAATTTAGACCAAGCTAAGGATGTGTATAAGATGGTGAGCATGTCACCACTTGCTTTCGTAAACGTTCCACGTAGTGCCCAGAGAGTCCTGAATATACAGAACAGAGCGTCATGCCTGGAGACCAACAACTCCGTTCAACCTTGCCATGCCGGGAGTAACCACCCGTGGGACAGAGGGGGAAATGGTCGTAGCGTTCAACAATGGTAGTAGCTATCGGCAAGGGTCGGGTTGAACGGAATGTCAGTGGCGTCAATCTACAGGGTACCAAGCCCTGCGTATCTGACACGGATGGCTCCATCCAGACCGATGACAGTGAGGTCCGGGTTCCCGGAGTTCCGCACCAGTGTACTGCGGCCATGTGATACAACCAAGAACACGACCAGCGAGAATGTTTGCTGTTGGGAAGGCAGACCGAGAACACTGCGAGAACAGCAAACGACAGTTCATCTCCTTGCTCAGGCCGCCATTGCTATACACTGGCATGATGGTGACCAGACTAACAGCCCTGACTCAGTAATCACTACAGAAACAATTATGGGGAAATACTGGCTAGGCCGGTTCTACTGGGCTAGGCCAAACAGTAACGGCTCACTACTGCACACAATTCCCCGCTGTCGACAAACACCAGTTATTTCCGCTCCGTGACAACTGTGTGGTGTGGTCAGGTGATTATGCTCCGGTATTTAACTTTCCAACCTTCAACTAAGGGCGGGACGGCGCAACTTCAAACCAGACGTTCCAACGAAATTTGGTAAGCGTCAACAAAGTCTACGCTAAGTAATTAGAGATGATACCGCTGAGGGCCGAGAGCCGCCAAAACTGGGATCCAATTCGTAACCGTTTGTCCGTAGAAAATATTCAGATGTGGCTCCACTCGGCCGTGATGATCACGTTATGGCGGGGTTTTGATCTGGTGATCGCCAAACAACTGTCTTGGGGGAAGGAGGTGTTGCTCCTATCTTCGGCAAAATATTGGGCCGTGAACAAGTGGCCACTGATAGCCCGATGGTCCCTGAAATGAAGTCCGTTATCCACTGCCCATCACTTCGAACTAGTGACAAACGGCAGTGAGAGACGGAACTCTGAAGATGCCTCCACAGTGGGGACAACAACTGAGGAGCAGATCTCGAGGACTAAAACCAGGCACTGATGGTCACTTGGAATCTACGGGGACTGTATGAAGGGTACCCGGAAAGGGGTGAGAACATAGTGCCCACATAACAACAACAATAATAATCATTTATTCTTGAGTTCACAGGTGCATATCATTTTGGCAGATACGGTTATAACAATTGGTGGCGGGTGATCTCCGGTAATAATTTTTTTACAAGAACTTTTTATCATCTCATTTTCATTCCAGGCAGTGGAGACCCCCAGTCTGAAAAAAAACTTCACACCATGATCGTCATCGTCACTATCAACATAGGACCAGGCATTACTGCCTAACGGCCCGAGTTACCACAGCTCATGTCACTACACCAAGTGGGAAGGTAGTAAGGTGAAAGATGAAGATAAGAAAATTCAGTCGAAAGAAATGTAAAGTACAAGAAAAGAGAAAGGAAAAGTGACAAAATGGTGAGACTCGGTACGGTGTTAAGATGAAGGTAATGTGTGTATATGTCTGCGCCACTGGCATCGGTTCTGAGCCATGTGATCACCTAGAGTCTCCAGCCACTGGTTCCTCTTGTGCCGCGGACCCCAACCGCCTGGCATGCACTGCCCCACATGGCTCAAACCAACAGTCAAAAACTTCATGCATTGGTGCAAAGTTTTAGTTCGGCCGGCTTGGACCTTTATCCGCTCTGTGCCTACTTGCGCCAACATTGTGTAACGGGGCAATCGGTGACTAAAACTACGTGGTACGCATTACGTCGCACCACATACAAATGGTGCACCTTAGTCTAAATTTAGAATTTTTGTTATGCTTTCAGGTTATCTGGCAGAAATGAGAGTCATGTCTATTGAATGTGTAAAATCACCACTCAAAAAGAAAAGGAGGTAACTCAGCAATTTCCTTCTCAAAAAAATTAATGGCGGCTAAATTACTCAAGTGCTCCAATTTGAAGGATCATATATATATTAGGCGAAATACCACGGCAGATTCAATGTGTCTTTCAAAGGACATGGATCCGCGGGTTCATTGAAACGTCAAGATATACCGTATAGACAATGACAAATAATACTGATGACAATATACAACCTTCCTGATGAAACGATCTAGTTTTATTTTTTCATGCCAAATTAAACATATGTCCACAGTAGCCACCATGGTGCGCTGCATTGCGACTAATAGCTCGGTGATTATTGGCCAAATTCCTTTGAGTTTCGAGGTCGAGTCAAGGAATCCGCTCCTGCAGACAAAGCTGTATGTATTTTTCTGCATTTTTGTGTGTCGTTTACAGCTGCAGTGGACAAAATGGTGCCAGTCAATAGGACAGTGGATTAATAAATGCCAAAAAGCTTCGGGGAAGTATTTTCTCCCGATGCCATAAGGGTGTTCATCACAGGTCGCACGATTGCAGAGGCGTTGCTTGAAGACGGATGCAGTGACATTTGAGAATAGCACTGATGAAATATCGTAATTCCAACCTGATTCCGGTTTTCCAAGATTCTGTTTGCAATAAGAGTAGAGAAAACGGAGAGTGGGGTACCAAGGCATAAGGAAGCTAATTATATGCAAATTTTAACCTATGTATATGGTGTCATGCCTACTATTAAATGTATAGTCCCAGGTTTCATGTTCATATTCTTACTAAAAATATGCTATTCACTGTGTTTTGGAAGTGCCATTTTCGAGGGGCTACATCTGTGGCTGCCCTTAGAATTGGTGATAATAAGTGGGAGGTACAGATGAACAACTTAACCAGCGAAGTTGTCCTAATTGTCCCTGGGATTTAATGGGGAAGAGTGTGGATTTACCGATCAGGGTGTGTCACCTCATACACTCAAGGGGCCCACCATACTGAGCACTGTGGGACATAGTTGTGCTTCACTCTGTATGTTAGGGAGTTTGTAGGAGGAATAGGAATCTTTCTAACATACGACTAAACTGGGTAGTTGGGCTCAAAGCTCTGATGTCAACAGGAGGACGGCTCCATATTTTCCAGCATTCACTAGGGAAGAAGTTAGCTCGGAGGGATGTTCCGAAAGATTTCATTTCATCATTGTGGGCTCGATTAGTAAGACTGTTGTAACCTTCTGGTGCGAAACGGGCTTCCTCACCAGCTGTAAGGGATATTTTATGCAAAATCTTGAAGAAAATATAAGGTTAGTCATAAGACGTCCCATGCAGAGTGGTTGCAGATTAAGCGACGTACACCAGGACACATAATCCTGACCGTATTCGTAACCGAGTAGCCTGTATGTGAAGTACCTCTGCATACTCTCAACCTTAAGTTTGTCGTCTATATGGATGCTCCTTAAAATGAGCAAACAGCATTCTAACAGGGGGTGGACGCGAGTTTTGTACAGCATTAATTTGGCTTTGTGCCCATGAAAGTTACGATTAATACAGCCTAGTAGAATTCTGGACTTAAGAGTTTGTGTTGCAACATGTTCAGATAATGTGAAGTTGTCAGAGTAACAGAGCCCCAAGTCAAGGAAGCTATGGACAGTAGGTAGCATCACAGCTTGCAGAGACAGCCGTAGACTAACAGATGGTGCTCCAAAGTATATCCGACCACACTTATCCAAGTTGAAAAGGAGGTTCCATGTGGTGGACCAGATGTTTACTAGATCAGGTTCGCCCTGTACTGGCCTTTGGAATTGGGGCAGGTCATCATATGAGAGTGCCAATGCAGCCTCCGAATCATCAGCAAAGAAAACGGTTTACCAACCGAGGGGCATTTGCAAAGGCCATTAACATAAAGGGTGAAACGAAGACGACCGAGCACGCTACCCTGAACCACACCAGAAGTAATGGGCCCAGGTTTAGAAAGGTGGGACTCGAATTTTGCAACCTGTAAAAGGTTACAAAGGAGAGATTTGATCCAGCCTAATAGGGGGTTAATAAGTCTAAGGGCTTGTAGCTTACGGATAGTGGTGAATGATCCATGCGGTCAAACGCCTTGGAGATATCAAAATAAAGGACAAGGACTGGCTTACGTTGATCACGGCTAACGGTCGGGAGGGTAAAGAAATCGAGATGACAGGCCATACATGATCGCGACTTCATGAATCCATGCTGACTAGATGTGATGACATTATTGTTTAGCAAGTGTTGGGGGATATCTTCTTCGACTACTTTTTCCGTGATTCTAGGTACAGCTGGCATGATATTTAGAGGTCTGTATTTATTGACTTCAGTTTTTCAGCCAGATTTGTGTCTAGGTATCATGAAGGATATCTCCCATTTGTTGGAGTAAGCAGAAGTCTCGATGGATAAGGAGCACAATTTAGGCGGTACTAACGAAATGTCAGGACCCCATTCTTAAAGAAGTAT